GTTTTTACAAGAGCAGCTAACACTGAGAGCTTCAGTTTACAAGCTGTTAGCAAATTCGGATAGACAAACCAAAGCTAAAAGCTAACTCACCCTGCGTTCACTCATCGAGCTTCCCTCAGCGCTCTCATGAAAACAAGAATATGACCAGACTTCAGAGCAGCGTGTTGTCATGTGGTGCTGCGCAGCGCTGACCTAACATGATGCATGCTGAACTTAACATAAGGCATGCTGGTTAGAAATTGTGTCCAACTTTCTGCTGCAAAACGTCACCATGTAAAATGACATTAAAATCTCACAGGATTTTTGTCCGGCTGCACAAAGTTGGAACCACCTTCTTATCTTGTGGCATTTGCGGCATCAGTCATTGTTCTAAACTCACAGTAGGCTCACGCAGTCCGACTTGACGGCGCTGTTTTTATACCTCACATTAGATTATCAAGTTGGCGAAAGTCAGCCGCAATCATGTCGAACGCACCTTTTGTCAAATTTCTGTCAGAAAGGCTGAGTGCTGAGGCAGGAATGCTGAGTGTGGACCCAAAATTTGCGAGGCGGATACAGTTCAAAAAGCTTTATTACGAAAAACAAAACAGACATGTATGAGCACATTGCGAGAGTCCAAACAAAACAGTAATCCAAAAACACAGATATCCAAAGGGAAGATTCCAAGAAATACAAAGTAATCCAAAGGGAAGAATCCAAATCGAAGGAACAAAGCTCGGACAGAACACTCACAACAGACTATGACACCACAAGGACTGAACACAATTGAGGGCAATATATACAGGGACACACAACACACACAAAGCAGGCAGGGCAATTAAACACAGGTGAGAGCATTGGGAATCAAGGTAGACAGGAAACAAAAACACCAATCACCAAAATTACAAAATAAAACAGGAAGTAAAGCTACAGATACACAAGGATATATTGTATGTAACTAAATACAACAGAAAAGAAGGAAGCAATGCTTCACTAACAAAATCTAACAAGAACACAGAGGCAATGGGTAAAACAGAAATAGAAATTTAACAAAATAATAGAAAAACACCACACTCAAAAATCCGTGTGTGGTTCGTTCTTCAAAACCAAATCGGAAAAACCAAAAAAACAAGTCATCTGTTTTGTTTTTCTGTTTCAAACCCATAACCAAAAACAAAGGAGCTCAGACATGTTTGTATTTTTTATTATTATTATTATTATTATTATTATTATCATATGTAGTCATTTTGCTACAATTACACATCACACAACAGCTGCAGCTGTGTTTGCACCTGACCTTTCTGTAAGAGGGAAGAATTTAGAAAGTTGCATGGCGCTGCAGAGAGCCCCCAGCTGCAGTAGTGCATGGATGATGCATAATTTCATCCAGCCTTAGGGATAATAATAATAATAATAATAGCGACACAACCCGTACAGGAGAGGGAGTGGGCGGACCAGGAACAGGAGATCGCAGAGCAACTGGCCCGCTGCAGACGGTCAGTGAGCCTTCCCTCTGGCAGGATGAAGTTCTGATTTTACGCAAGATCCATGATGATAGAGAAATTAATAAAGCATTCTGTGAATATTTTAGACACCCCCCAAAATATCAGAAATATTGTTTTAGGGGAGCTGATGTCTTATTAAGGTGAGCTAAGATCCCCCTGGCTCCCCGCAAGTTTGCACCATGCCTACAACTCCTGCTCACTCCCCAACTTGTCACATATGGACCCATGGTCAAGGCCTATGTAACGCACTGGGGGATCCCTATAGCGTCATAGGTCAACGCAGTGGGGAAAGCCCTGTAGCATCCGTTTGTGATAGTAAAGGCAGGTAGGATATGATAAGCTATTATACATACATGGTTGGGGCGAAAGGAGGGCCAGGACCTTTGAATCAGGAGACAGGAGGAATGTTTGTGTATCCTGTGAAACAAAAAGTCAACATTAGGCTAAATATTTTTATATTTAATTTTATATAAGGCTATTTCTTTTCAGGTCGCATCACATCTCATATCAACTGTGGCGAATATGATTGTAGAAGTGAGCACTATATTACAGAGCCTCAAACACTCAAAATTATCCAATTTCTAGCTTAAGTAGGCTACATCAGTATCAAGGAAGCATTTTGTTTTGAGCTGATCTGAAGCAGCTGCTTACTCGAGCAATATAATAAAATACCCGAATATGTTTATCAAGGGTTTTTTCTCGAGGCTATACGGCCAGGGTCCGACCTCCTCTCCCTCGCCCTGTACGTTCCAGCGCCCCGCTCCCCCTCCGTTAACTCTAGTATGGGTTGCTGGCTGGATTAAGTCTGATGCTCCTGATTTTACACATAATCCATGTACTGCTGCAGCTGGAGTATGTCCGCAGCGCCGCACAACTAAATTCTTCCATCTCATAAAGAATATAAAGCTCAGGTCGAAACAGTGTAGCCTGAAGAGGCTGAACGAAAATTACCCGAACATAGCTGCAGCCTCCGGTACTGTCCTGTTTTTCTAACTAAAAACCCACTAATGTTGATGTTCAAGCTCATCTTAATTATATAATCAGGCACCGCCATCGCCCAAGTGTATCTGCTGCAGGTTTATCAAGTATAACACACAAAGCTACTCAAATCAGACTCATTAAATATCAAAAAACAATATTATCCTTTTTGGGTTTAAAACAGAAAAACAAAAACAAATATCTGTTTTTTTGTTTTCTGTTTTTCTGTTTTGGTTTTAAAACAGAAAAAAACAAAAAAGGACTTGGTTTTTTGGTTTTCACGATTCGATTTTTAAACGAAATAATGAAAGAACGAACCATACACGGATTCTCAAAAATCCATGTATGGTTCGTTCTTTCATTATTTTGTTTCAAACCCAAATCGGGAAAAAAGAGTTTTTTTTGTTTTTTCTGTTTTAAAACCAAAATGGAAAAACGGAGAACCAAAAATCATCTATTTCATTTTTTTGTTTTAACAAAGGAGCTGCATTTTGTTCTATCTTTGACTGGTGTATCCCTACAACCCATCACTCCCCCACTTGTCACATATGGTTAAGTTGTTTGTAACGCACTGGGGATCCCTATAGTGTCACAAGTGGGGGAAGCCCTGTAGCTTCAGTTTGTGACGGTAAAAGCAGGTATATGATATTTAACAGAAAAGACGGAGTAAGAACTGGTTGAGGTGAAAGGAGGGCCAGAATCAGGACTGAACCAGGAGACCGGTGTTCGTGTCCAGTGTGAAACAAAAAACTCAATGTTACATATTTAAGCTATTTATTTTATTTTATAGCCTATAGGCTAAGGTTATGGTGAATATGATTGTAGAAGTGAGCACTATAGACCTAGCCACATAGGAAAAAAGAAATATGAGAATATGGGCTACTTGTTTACGCGTCAAGCTGGAGGAGCCACGCAAGCACTCAAAATTCTCCCATATGTAGATTAAGTACATAAGCATCAAGGAAGCATTTTGTTTTGGGCTGATCTGACGCGGCTGGTACCTGAGCAATGTAAGAAAATTCCCGAATATGTTTATCAAGGGGGCGCCAGGGGGAGCTTTCCTCCTCTTAATAAGACATGAGCTCCCTTGAAAACATGATTTGTGATATTTTGAGGGGTCTCTAAAATATTGACAATATGCTATTTTTGCCATTCATTTCTATTTTTCTGTAGCCTATCATCATGGATCGTGCGTAAATCAGTAGCATCAGGCTTCATCCAGCCAGAGGGATCACCGACCGAAATATTGAAATTTGAAATATTTTTGTCTTCCATGTTACACACTGTAAGCAGATGGCATCATTGGTGCATTTCTTCAAGTTCAACAGTGTATAATTATGTTCTTTATTTCATTAATCTTATTTTTATCCATAGGAAAAGGTTTGTATATTAACTCTGAGTTGTTCATGTGTTCATGTAGATGTGCTGACAACACAAAATGACCTGTATTTAAAACCTGTTCCTTCACAGTGAAAACTGGAGCTAAACACTGCTATCAAACACTAAAATCAACTGTCTTAGGAGAAGAGTTACAGTTTGGTTTATCTGCTTTGTAATGTCAGACTTTAAGAGGCTCCAGATGTTCTGAACATGCTTCCTCACAGCCATAAATAATACATATCCAGGCCCTAACATCTCGTTAACCAGCAGTGATCAGTGACCTTTGACCACACAACCCTTAACCTTTCCACCCTCACTGTCTCCTCTTCCTCCCTCCTCCACCCACCCCTGCCAGCTCTGCTGGCCCTCGCTGTCTACTGTTGTGGTAGAAAGTACAGTAGGTACAGTGTTGATAGTTTCCTACTCTTCTTTAATTAACTGTCCTGTCTGCAAAGGATGCATGATTAAGTCTCTTGTACTGCATGTCTGCATGTCAGTTGAATACCTGAGCACTTATATTTAACAGTCTGGTTCTGTTTGGGTTGTTCAGTTATTGACTGCATGTCAAAGGCACCCCCTGGGATTTTGTTTTTGTGACCAGTCCCGCCACCACAAACCCTACAGTTTTCTAAAACTCACCTGTGAACTGGTTAGAGTTTCAAACATAAAAACTGACCTGGGAGGTCGTTTAAGGGTTTAGGGGTGAGTGATGTAGCTTTAATATGAGAAGTTTAGGACAGTGCATGTATATCATTAAAGGACAATTGTAGTTTATCACAACTTTGGTGTTATTTTCAAAGTTGTGTCAATTATAGAAAGACTTAGTTGGAAGAGAGAACAGAAGAGAAATATAAAATGATTAACTCCAGTCAAATATATTTTTCATCCATGCCAGTATCACAAATCACAAATGTGCCTCACATGGCTTTACAATCTGCACAGCATATGACCTCCTCTATCTTCTCACAGCTGGTTTGTTTCCAGCCTGTCTGATAAACCCTAAGTTGTAATGAACCTTAATGACTTCTACCTGGACATCTTTGATATGTTGGTTCTTCACTGCATGAGGAGATGATGTTACTGCTGATGAAGATAATGGGGATGTTGGGTATAATAATAGCCAGGGACCTAACCCACTCTGTTTGTTTCCCTCTGCAGGTATGGTTGGACGAGGAAGAGGAGGGAGGTGAGGAAGGAGAGTCAAAGCATCCCGTTGTGTTTTGCATGCAGGCAGAGCATGCTGGGACCAGGACATACTTCTTCAGCACTGACAGCCATGAGGAGCAGGAAGAGTGGATTAGAGCCATGAGCGAGGCTACAGAGGTCAACATTAGGTCACAGAGGTGCTGTTCACACAGAGCCACACTCAGACACACAGTACACACACACAGATTTGATTGGGCCTGTCCATTATGTCCAGTCATGGCAATACTGTATGGACTCATATGGACTACTCATATCTTAAAGGGGCATTATGTAGTTTTCAGCAGCTACTAGTGGTGCACTTTTAAGATTGCAACCAGGTGTGTGCTCGTACGCGTGCTCGCTTCAAGAGAGCATTTTCCGAAAAACAAACGGTTTCATTGAGAGGTCCAGCAATAGATGTGGAAACACTGGCATACCGGCTGCTTTTCACTAGACATGTTCATGCTCTGTGACTTCAATATTCCCGGCTCAGAGGCAGATCAAATCAAAACCCTTTTCGGCTGTGTAACGTTATTTTTCAGACAGTGCAGCCAGCTGGCATATTGGCACAATCCTCCCAGAAAATAAGGCAGTGTGACAGTGGCTATAGACAGACAGGGAGGCAGCTTCACACCACATGCTGGAAACTCAGGTAAACTCCCACTGCAACGTTACAGCAATATTTTTATCAGCTTATGGTTGAACTAATCCATGCTCATTACATAATAACGTTACATTTACTGCATTTAGCCAACTTGATATATCGGCTCACCTGTCTGCTTTTCAGAAACTATGTTTACTATCTGTGTATTTTTCAACGGAGGCTCAGCAATGTGAACACAACTAAATGTTTTAGATGATAACAAAATGGTTAGTGAGCCGGACTGAATATTATAAATTAGATTGTTACCACACTCTATAACAGTTAGACTACTAAGGTTACTGTAGTGAAAAACGTTTTTTTCCATTCCATTTTTCCCATTGTGTTGTCCTGTGCGTTATGTTGCATTATTGTTTTTTTTATTATGTAGATCATGTAAGTTATAGCGACTGAGAGGTGGAGAAGCTGTGTAATGGAGTATTGGTAAAACTAGGCTTCATCCTGAACCAGGTGCTTTTACTTAAAAAATCAAAGATTTATTAATAAGTAATTTCATTGAAAAACTTTGCTTTGGTGCCATCTGGTGGTGATATCAGGAACGACACTGTAAATGTCCAGAATGATGTTGTTGGGTATGGGACTTCCACTTGCATATTATCTTCCATTCATATATACGTCTAACAACATCTTTAACAATCACTGACTGATTTATTCTTAATTACAAAGCTAAACACGTGTGGGGGATTTCTTGAATAAGAAGCAAATGCTCAAATAAGGAAAAAAAATAAGAAATTTTTACTAAGGATAAATCACACACTTCACATTAAATGTAGCCAGGCATTTGGCTCTGTAGTTTTGTGCACCAGCTGCAGGCTGGCAGGTAATGAACTCATGGGACAGCAACGATGAATGTCTTCTTAGAAAAACAAAAGAAAAATGAAAATAATTGAACCAATTAAGAATGTGTTGGTAACATTGTGACTCACTAACAAAATATACAGAAAAGCATGACACAGGTACAAGCACAATGTTCCTGCATTATTAGAAAGAAAACAGTATGCACAGTATGAATGGTAACGTACTGGCCCAATTCAAGCAATGCATATGATGCAGATCAGTACAGCATGACCTGCTGTCAGTCATTTGCCTCTTGTCTCTGTAAGTCAGTGTGAACACAAACCACACCAGAGATAAAAAGCAATAATGGATCATTTTGTTTGTTGGCAAGTAAGTTTAAAGGAGAAATGTACAAAACTCTTCATTCCTAAAAACACCAAATGACTGTTATGGGTTTGATCCATGTGTTGGTGACAGACTCAGTTACTTGGCTTGGTGCTGAGAGTTTAAATTCACTGACTCTGTAATATTTCTGAAACAAATCAAAGCTGTCTGTCTCTTCTCATGCATTCTTTTTCCTTCAACCTTCACAGAACAAAATCAGACACCACAGCTGCTGTCACCCACACCATGGTGACCAAGGCACCCGACCCACAAACAGAACAGGATCCACAGAGTGAAACTGACAGTAACCTGCCCCCCTACCCTAAGATCAACGGGGTCGACAGCCTTGAGACACCCCCGCCCCACCCCCCCCCCTGCACTCAGGAGGGAAAAAAGAATGACGGAAGACGAGGAGAAGGTGAAGATGAAGGGGGGGGACCTAGCCCTGACCACGCCTTCCACCCTAATCACCATCCAAATGGTTGGGACAACTATGGACCTCGCAGTACCATGCCGCACAACAGCAATAGCAAACCCCCTCCATCCAGGAGCCACAGTACCCATCGTGCCCTTCAGGGACACCCAGAGGGGAGTGCCGGCCCATCTCAGAACCCCAGGGAGCAGCAGGAGAACGTGGTGATGAGGAGGGGCTTTGTGCCCAGGACTGCTCCAGAGAGGGTGGCCCAGAGGAAGAGCTCCATGGCCCAGCTGCAGCAGTGGGTCAACCAGAGGCGATGCATGGCCTCCCAGGAGGACATCAACAGGTAGATCAACCCTGTCCCTTTTTGCAAGTCTTCTGTGTTGTTTTTTGCACTTAGCTTCAGATTACAGTTCAGTGGTTATGGGATACCAGGACACTGATAGTGCTGCTGTACTGTAAGTCACTTATAAAGACCTTACACTGGCATTCATTCATTAAAACAGGTCTTAAATGTTTTCTTGTCCTTTTGTAGGATTAAATAAATGCCGTAATGTCATGAAAAAATATTTTTTGTGTGACTTTACAATTTACTGCGTTTGGTGTGACTTGGCTGTTACACATCAGCACTGGTTACATTATGTCAGTGTTTAGCTTTACACTCTGGACTGTGGAGTGTTTGTGGTGCACAAGCAGAAAACAAAACGTCTCTGATGTGCTACTAACAAGCTAATGTTAGCTCATCGCCTCAGAATGGGCAAGCGTCTGAAGTACAGAAGGCCAGAGATACAGACAAGTTGGCTAAGAGCAGTGGCGCTGAGGTTAGCACAACAAGTGGATCAGTGTGCGAGTCAGTCACACTATGGCGAGCGCTAAAGAAACAGCTGAGCTGGAAGACCTGCATGCAGGTTACAGGTCAGTTAACATTACAACAGCAACTGAGAGACAGTTGTGTATAAGACGAGGACCGTGTCTGTGTGTCAGCGTTGTGCCACTGTTGCAGGGTAACGTTATGTGAATAGAAACATCCAACATACTAACGCACATTAAACTTACATCACCCAGATGTGCTGATCACTGGGACGAGGAAAAATCAGAAATAGAGCCCAACTCCTTATCCTCACTGCTTTCACGCCAATACTATATTTCAAGCAGCCTTTAGATGCAAAAACAGAACAGGATGAATAGTCACTGAAGCTATTGGCATAGTATATTACATTACATAACCTTATTCAGCCAAGGGGTGACTAATTGTAACAACTCATATTGCACTAGTTAGGGCCCGAGCATGAAACATGCGAGGTCCCTATTGAAACTGTAGGGATTATTAGGGCCCGAGCACGAACCGTGCAAGGTCCCTATTGTAACTGAAGAGATTATTAGGGCCCGAGCACGACCGTGTGAGGTTCCTATTGAATTTGCTAAGATTATATATATATATATATATATACACACACACACACACACACACACACACACACACACATACACACAGTGAGGAAAATAAGTATTTGAACACCCTGCTATTTTGCAAGTTCTCCCACTTAGAAATCATGGAGGGGTCTGAAATTGTCATCGTAGGTGCATGTCCACTGTGAGAGACATAATCTAAAAAAAAAATCCAGAAATCACAATGTGTGATTTTTTAACTATTTATTTGTATGATACAGCTGCAAATAAGTATTTGAACACCTGAGAAAATCAATGTTAATATTTGGTACAGTAGCCTTTGTTTGCAATTACAGAGGTCAAACGTTTCCTGTAGTTTTTCACCAGGTTTGCTGAGAAACACGGAGTTTGAGCTCCCTCCAAAGATTCTCTATTGGGTTTAGGTCTGGAGACTGGCTAGGCCACGCCAGAACCTTGATATGCTTCTTACAGAGCCACTCCTTGGGTATCCTGGCTGTGTGCTTTGGGTCATTGTCATGTTGGAAGACCCGGCCTCGACCCATCTTCAATGCTCTAACTGAGGGAAGGAGGTTGTTCCCCAAAATCTCGCAATACATGGCCCCGGTCATCCTCTCCTTAATACAATGCAGTCGCCCTGTCCCATGTGCAGAAAAACACCCCCAAAGCATGATGCTACCACCCCCATACTTCACAGTAGGGATGGTGTTCTTGGGATGGTACTCATCATTCTTCTTCCTCCAAACACGGTTAGTGGAATTATGACCAAAAAGTTCTATTTTGGTCTCATCTGACCACATGACTTTCTCCCATGACTCCTCTGGATCATCCAAATGGTCATTGGCAAACTGAAGACGGGCCTTGACATGTGCTGGTTTAAGCAGGGGAACCTTCCGTGCCATGCGTGATTTCAAACCATGACGTCTTAGTGTATTACCAACAGTAACCTTGGAAACGGTGGTCCCAGCTCTTTTCAGGTCATTGACCAGCTCCTCCCGTGTAGTTCTGGGCTGATTTCTCACCTTTGTTAGGATCATTGAGACCCCACGAGGTGAGATCTTGCATGGAGCCCCAGTCCGAGGGAGATTGACAGTCATGTTTAGCTTCTTCCATTTTCTAATGATTGCTCCAACAGTGGACCTTTTTTCACCAAGCTGCTTGGCAATTTCCCCGTAGCCCTTTCCAGCCTTGTGGAGGTGTACAATTTTGTCTCTAGTGTCTTTGGACAGCTCTTTGGTCTTGGCCATGTTTGTAGTTGGATTCTTATTGATTGTATGGGGTGGACAGGTGTCTTTATGCAGCTAACGACCTCAAACAGGTGCATCTAATTCAGGATAATAAATGGAGTGGAGGTGGACATTTTGAAGGCAGACTAACAGGTCTTTGAGAGTCAGAATTCTAGCTGATAGACAGGTGTTCAAATACCTATTTGCAGCTGTATCATACAAATAAATAGTTAAAAAATCATACATTGTGATTTCTGGATTATTTTTTTAGATTATGTCTCTCACAGTGGACATGCACCTACGATGACAATTTCAGACCCCTCCATGATTTCTAAGTGGGAGAACTTGCAAAATAGCAGGGTGTTCAAATACTTATTTTCCTCACTGTATATATATATATATATATATTTATTAGGGCCCGAGCACGACTGTGTGAGGTCCCTATTGAATTTGCTAAGATTATGTCTATGAAGATTCTCAGTCATCCAGGTCATAGTTATCCAACGAAGGTTAAAATCAAGGGCAACTGGACTTGGCTGAAGATACTGGAAGACGTTTCGTCCCTCATCCAAAGGACTTCTTCAGTTCTGACTGACTGGCAGGGAAACTCAGCTATTTAACCTCAGTGGGGTCGTTATCCCGGGTCATCGATACCGCTGGTTCGTTAGTGTTCCTTGTTGCTGTGACGACAGTCGTTACAGTCGTTAAGACTACCTGTGGCCAAGACTGAACGACCATCGTTGGTATCTTCACCTGAGGTCAATAGGTTACGTTTGGTGAGTTTCCTGGGAAGTGATGAAAGGACAGCATTGTAAGTGGGGGATAAGTGGTGGCGTAGACCCCCTCCCCTGTTCAATGACGGCTTCTCAACCCTGGTGTAGATGGCTTCCTTGACACCTCTTTCAAACCATCCATCTTCTCTGTCTAAAATGTGCACCTGGTGGTCCTCAAACGAGTGTCCTCTGTCCTTCAAATGTAAGTAGACTGCAGAGTCTTGACCTGAGGAGTTGGCCCTTCTGTGTTGAGCCATGCGTTTGTGTAGTGGTTGTTTAGTCTCCCCAATATACAGGTCTGTGCATTCCTCACTGCATTGGACCGCATACACTAGATTGCTTTTCTTGTGTTTGGGTGTGCGGTCTTTGGGGTGTACCAGCATCTGTCTTAGTGTGTTTTTGGGTTTAAAAAACACAGGGATTTTATGTTTGTTGAAAATCCTCCTGAGTTTCTCTGATACTCCAGACACGTATGGAATCACAATGTTGTTGCGTTTGACCTTCTTTTCCTCCTCCCCTGTAGTTTTTAGGGCCCGAGCACGACCGTGCGAGGTCCCTATTGAATTTGCTAAGATTATTAGGGCCCGAGCACGACCGTGCGAGGTCCCTATTGAATTTGCTACGGTTATTAGGGCCCGAGCACGACCGTGCGAGGTCCCTATTGAATTTGCTAAGATTATTAGGGCCCGAGCACGACCGTGCGAGGTCCCTATTGAGTTTGCTCAGATTATTAGGGCCCGAGCACGACTGTGCGAGGTCCCTATTGAATTTGCTCAGATTATTAGGGCCCGAGCACGACCGTGTGAGGTCCCTATTGAATTTGCTAAGATTATTATTAGGGCCCGAGCACGACCGTGCGAGGTCCCTATTGAATTTGCTCGGATTATTATTAGGGCCCGAGCACGACCGTGCGAGGTCCCCATTGAATTTGCTCGGATTTTTAGGGCCCGAGCACGACCGTGCGAGGTCCCTATTGAATTTGCTCGGATTATATATTTTTAGGGCCCGAGCACGACCGTGCGAGGTCCCTATTGAATTTGCTCGGATAATTTTTTTTAGGGCCCGAGCACGACCGTGCGAGGTCCCTATTGAATTTGCTCGGATTTTTAGGGCCCGAGCACGACCGTGCGAGGTCCCTATTGAATTTGCTCGGATTATTATTATTTTTTTATTTATTTTTTTTTATTTTATTTTTTTCTTTTTTCTGCAAAGTAGGCCCAAATGACATGGCCTAAACATACTCGAAAACTCACCAAAATTTGCAAACATGTCAGAACCGGTGAAAAATTTCGTATTCTACAAGTTTCGCACATGGGCGTTGCAAAATGACTCGCTAGCGCCACCTAGAAAATTGGAAAAAATTAGCCCCTCGTTCACGTTCAACCTACATCTACGAAATTTTCTGGGGACATGTATCATGTCAAGACGCACAAAAAAGCCTCAAGAACCCATAGCCTAAAGTCAACAGGAAGTCGGCCATTTTGAATTTTATGGCCATTTTTGGATGATTTACACACTTCGTACTTTAACGAACTCCTCCTAGGGATTTAGTCGGATCGACGTCAAATTTCTGCTGTGCCTTCTAAAGGCATTGACGATGAAAAGTTGTGCTATTTGCGAGTTTTCGTCAATGGGCGTGTCCGTGGCGTCGATGATTCGCTATGAAACAGGAAGTTGTTGTAACTTCAGTGTACATGCTCACATCTGGACCAAACTGTACATCTAGGATGAGAGTCCCGCCCTGAACACATGTACATGCCGACATTCACCCACAGTCATAGCGCCACCTGCTGGCAATAGAAAGTGACCTTTAACGAAGCAGCCCCCGCCGCACGTTTCACCTACGTGCACGAATTTTCTGTGGTACGTGTATCTTGTCCAGACGCACAAAAAAGCCTCTTGGAGCGATGCCCTAAAATCAACAGGAAGTCGGCCATTTT